TGGGCCTGCCCTCTGCCACCCGGGAGCAGGCCTAAGCCAGCAGGTCGTTATCTCCTGAGGGGTCCCAGACTGCGAGAGGGCACAGGCCGGGCTGAGGGACCCCCCCTCCCCCTGAGTGCACAAATTTTTGTGCACCGGGCCTCTAGTAAAATGATAAAAGGATAAGGAAACTGGTTTCTTTTTATTTTGTCACTTGTTGAACATCAACTGGCAACATAACTTTAAAAATATAGTATTAAATCTATTTCATAGATTATGATATAGTACCTTTTATTAAAACATGTTCCTAGCAACTGAACTTAAAATCAAAAGCCTTAGTTTTCCATATTAATTTTACTAGGTACTTTGTGTGGAAAGGAAGAGTCAAATTCACTGCCCATTAAAAGACACTGTTTTCAACGCATATTAATTTTTTTCACATTGTGAGAGCCTACATTTTTATTTATTTATTTTAAAATTTAAAAAATGTTTTATTGATTTTAGAGGGTGAGAGAGAGAGAGAGAGAGAGAGAGAGAGATAGAAACATCAATAAGAGATAAACATCGAAGAGCTGCCTCCTGTACACCCTCTACTGGGGATTGAGCCCCCACTACCCAGGCATGTGGCCTGACTAGGAATTGAACCAGTGACCTCTTGTTTCATGGGTTGATGCTCAACCACTGTATCACACTGGCCAACATTTTTCGAGTACAATGTTCAGAAAATCCAAAAACAAAAAGGGGAAAAAGTCATAATCCCATCACTCTAAGGCAGCGGTTCTCAACCTGTGGGTCGCGACCCCTTTGGGGGGTCGAACGACCCTTTCACAGGGGTCGCCTAAATACATCCTGCATATCAGATATTTACATTACGATTCATAACAGTAGCAAAATTACAGTTATGAAGTAGCAACAAAAATAATTTTATGGTTGGGGGTCACCACAACATGAGGAACTGTATTAAAAGGGTCAAGGCATTAGGAAGGTTGAGAACCACTGCTCTAAAGTCTCTACTGTAATGCTATCATATTTTTCCGACAAGCTAGTGGGTTTTTTGTTGTTTTTTTGTCAAGGGAAAAGGACAGAGAGAAACATCCATGTGAGATAGATACATTGATTGGTTGCCTCCTGCATGTACCCTGACCTGGGCGGGGGAGGGAGCCTGCAACTGAGGTAAGTGCCCTTGACCGGAATTGAACCCTAGACTCTTTAGTCCTTGGGCCAACATTCTATCACTGAGCCAAACAGGTTCGGGTGAGGCTTGTTTTGTTTAAATCCATACATTTATATTTCCACCCAGTTTAAATAATAACTATGAGAATATATTAATTCTGTATCCTACTTGGACAAAGCATTTCTCCATATCCTTAAAAAAGATAGTAAGATTATCTTTAAAACTGAAACTGGGAGCCTACTAATAGATTATGACTTCCAGTATTTTGGGAAGACATAGCTTTTTATCACACTTGTATTTGTCTCAGATATTTGTCCTTTGTAAAATGTAACAAACAATGATAAGGGAAACAAACTAACGATGAACATTTGCACGTTGGTGTAAGCACATAAAGTGATTTTGTTGACTGCAGGTGAGAGAGAATTTCCCCCTGAGAGTTAGTCCTGGGTACTTGCTCTACTACAATGAATTTCTTTTTTAAATATATTTTTATTGATTTCAGAGAGGAAGGGAGAGGGAGAGATGGAAACATCAATGATGAGAATCATTGACTGGCTGCCTCCTGCATGCCCCCTAAATCCAGGCATGTGCCCTTGACTGGAATGGAACCCGGGACCTTTCAGTCCACTGAGCCAAACCGGCTAGGGCGACAATGAATTTTTTTTACTTCCCGATGCCTAAAGTTGCAATCTGGGCTTGGGTACATGATATGAGGAAGAAATGTATGCATATGCCTATTTAATAATTTGAAGTCTCTCTTTTTTTAAAAAAAATATATTTTATTGATGTTTTACAGAGAGGAAGGGAGAGGGATAGAGTTAGAAACATCGATGAGAGAGAAACATCAATCAGCTGCCTCCTGCACACCTCCCACTGGGGATGTGCCTGCAACCAAGGTACATGCCCTTGACCGGAATCGAACCTGGGACCTTTCAGTCCTCAGGCTGACACTCTGTCCACTAAGCCAAACCGATTAGGGCTGAAGAGTCTCTTATTCACTTGTACTATTAATCAATTATAAATATCAACATAAAATAAAAGAGCACATAAAGGAGGCTTGTGTTACATCTGGTGACTGAAAAGAATGAATTTTTTTTAAGATTCTACTCCAGTGACATCCAAACTTCCTTAGGTTTTGAAGTGACTGGGGGTAGGAGTGGGAGGGTGAGTGGTTTAGGGAGAACAAATAGCTAGTGACTCCACCTAAGCAATTTATTCACTCCCCTCCCCCTATTTCTGTATAAAGGAGTTAACACATTTCGTACCGCTCAGGAGTTTTCTGGTGTTTCGCGCGCCATCTGTTAAGGACCACTCACGAGTGTTCTCGTTTTTCACACCCATGGAAAAAGGAGCAAATCTAGATACTTATGTAAATTTTGTTTGGTCCTTCTTCATAGAGGAAAATGTTTTATGCAGTACCATACGTTAAAAAAGTACTAGGAACTTTAATTGTTTAATTGTTTTTGTAAATAAAAATGTTATAGCCGTAGCCGGTTTGGCTCAGTGGATAGAGCGTCAGCCTGCGGACTGAAGGGTCCCAGGTTCGATTCCGGTCAAGGGCATGTACCTTGGTTGCGGGCACATCTCCAGTAGGGGGTGTGCAGGAGGCAGCTGATCGATGTTTCTCTCTCATCGATGTTTCTGGCTCTCTATCCCTCTCCCTTCCTCTCTGTGAAAAAGCAATAAAATATATATATTAAAAATGTTATAATTATTGAAAACAACACCTAAAGTGCATTATGATGATTTAAATAACGTGCAGTTTTCCCAAAAACATGCGGTCTCTGGCGTATGTCTTAGAGATTTCTATGCGGTACGCAATGTTAATAACATATGAAGCAACTGCTCTAATACTTGGCACATGGTAACAGCTAATTTCTCTTTCTCAAATGAAGCCTTTCAATGAGCACTTCGCAGTTTTCACAGCTGACTATGATTCTTCTTCCTAATGCCTCTCAGCCACCCTCCCACTTAGATACATAAAAGACAAACATAAATTTGACACCGATTTACTAAAGCAATCATGTGGGTTCTCTGATTCACAAATATAACAGAACTTTAGACTCCACTTGAGCAACCTGAGCAACCCTAGGTACTCACAATTTTTGTTTGTTTGTTTTTCGTTTTACTTTTGCTGTGCCAGAAAGTCACTTTGGGTCAGTAGTGTACTCACCTACCAACTAACAGGGACTCAAATCCCAAAGGCTGAATATATTTTTTAAGAAATCATACAATAAAAAGAAAGGTTTATTACATGCTTCAGTATATTACAAACTTAAAGAATTAGTCTGGCCCTAACCGGTTTGGCTCAGTGGATAGAGCGTCAGCCTGCGGACTCAAGGGTCCCCGGTTCGATTCCAGTCAAGGGCATGTACCTTGGTTGCGGGCACGTCCCCAGTAGGGAGTGTGCAGGAGGCAGCTGATTGGTGTTTCTCTTCCATCGATGTTTCTGGCTCTCTATCCTTCCCTCTCCCTTCCTCTCTGTAAAAAAATCAATAAAATATATTAAAAAAAAAAAAAAAAAGAATTAGTCTGTACCTAAAAAAGGTGACACAAGTTGAAATAATTAAGTAACTATACAAAGAAGTATTTCTTAGATTAAAAATAATTTAAGCCCTGACCGGTTTGGCTCAGTGGATAGAGCATCAGCCTGCAGACTGAAGGGTCTCAGGTTCAAGTCTGGTCTTGGCTGAGGGTGCATCCCCAGTGGGGGGTGTGCAGGAGGCAGCTGATCGATGTTTCTCTCTCATCGATGTTTCTAACTCTATCCCTCTTCCTTCCTCTCTGTAAAAAAATCAATAAAATATATTTAAAATAATAATAATTTAAAATGTCAAAAACAGAAAAAAAAGTACCATATGATTTCATGCATATGTGGAATTTAATGAACAAACTGAACTACCAAGCAAAATAGAGACAGACTCATAGATAGAGAGCAGGCAGATAGCTCTGGGGGGAGGGGACATCGAGGGTGGATGGTGGAAGGACTGAGCAAAAAGGAAAAAAAAAGACCTCATAGACACAGACAACAATGTGGTGCTTGCAGGGGTAGTGGATAGAGGTGTAAGAGGGCAAAGAGGGGATAAATAGTGATAGAAAAAATAAAATCAAACATATACCACTCTCAATTTTTCTATTATATAGCTATCCAGCTGAAAATTTGGGACACTTATTACCCACAGGGCACTGACCTAAGCACCTTATGTGAACTAATTTATTCAACCACTAATGATAAATTCCAATGACACCTTTTATCATAAAATTTGAATGAAAGTTGAAATAAAGCAGGATACCAAAAAACAAGTTACAGCATACAAGTTTTTATAAGTTCTAACAAATACTGGTGTCATAAAATTACTAATATTGCCTGGCTGGTGTGGCTCAGTGGTTGAGTGTCAACTCATGAACCAAGAAGTCACTGATTCAATTCTGGGTCAGGGCACATGCCTGGGTTGTGGGCTTGATCCCCAGTAGGGGCTGTGCATGAGGTAGCCAATTGATGGTGTTTCTCAATGATGTTTCTCTCTATCCTTTTCCCTTCCTCTGTCTAGAAGAAAAATCACCCTAGCTGGTTTGGCTCAGTGGATAGAGTGTCGACCTGTGGACTGAAGGGTCCTGGGTTCAATTCCGGTCAAGGGCACATGCCTGGGTTGCAGGATCAATCCCCAGTAGGGCGCATGCAGGAGGCAGCTGATCAATGATTCTCATCATTGATGTTTCTATCTCTCTCTCCCTTCCACTCCGAAATCAACAAAAATATATTAAAAAGAAAAAAAAAATCATCAAAAGCATTTAAAAACAAAAACGTTACTAATATTGAAACCAATACTTGTCTTCTCATTTTAAGGTTCAAGTTTCACTTGCTACTAAAAACCATTGCTAGATTATTCCACAGATGCTCAGTCATTCTGAGAGAAGGACACCAGTGTGGAATGAAAAACCTAGGTAAGTTTTACAAACCCTGGTGTCCCTCCATATTCTCTAAAATACCTGGCCACTGACATCTAAAGAGGGTAAAATCAGATAATAAAGCATGCCTATCATATGCTACTTCCTAGTTCTCAAGAAGAAAAAGAAAATAAGAGGACAAGAAAGAAAAGAGTACCACAGTGTGAGAATTGAGGGAACAAGGAAGAAACAAGAGGACCTAAAGGATACAATAAAAATACCCATTATTGTATGTCAAAAAAAATAAAAAAAGAAACAATAAACAGACACCTGTTTACACCAACTATCTTACCTGAAGACTCCTTGTTTGAACAGGTAAGCACTAATATGACCCCCTTCTAGATATCGGATTTCACAACCAGGCCAAATTTCTTGCAGACTTCGAACTCCAGTTCGTGGAATATATGCATCTTCTTTAGCTTGAACCACTATAATGAGGCTTGGGTCTACTGGAACTAGGTACAAGATTTTTAAAAAATGCAACAAAATCGCTAAGATTTTTATACAGCCTATTAAATTGTATCTACACTAATAAAAGACAAACATGCAAATTGACAGTACCTTTGCTACACCTTAAGCCATGCCCACCAGCCAAATCAGAGCAACTATATGCAAATTAACCCAACCAAGATGGCAGCTGGCAGCCATGGAGCTGGAACAAGCAGGAGGCTTGGTTGCCCCAATGATGGAGGAAGCCAAGCTTCCCACCTGCCACAGCCCCAGCTCTGAGCTCCACTCAAAGCAACAAAGTTTCAATTATAGAAGATAAATAAACCCCAGATACCTACTTTCAGCCGGCCATGGCCACGGAGCTGGAGCGAGCAGGAGCTCCCTCCCGCCCTCCCTGGCCGGCTCTGAGCTCCACTCCAGGCTACAAAGTTTCAATTATAGAAGGTAAATAAATCCCAGAATAAAAAAAAAGGAGAGGCTGGGAGCTTCTGTCGCCAAGGGGGGGGGGGGGGCTTAGCCAGCCTGAAAACGGCCCTCAGCCCCTCACCCAGACTGGCCAGGCACCCCAGTGGGGACCCCCCCACCCTAAAGGGGGTGTGGCCAGCCTGCAAACAGCCATCAGCCCCTCACCCAGGCTGGCCAAACCTCCATGGGGTGAGGGTCCCCACTGCGGGTGGCTTGACCAGCCTGCAAACAGCCATCAGCCCCTCACCCAGGCTGGCCAGGCACCCCAGTGGGGACCCCCACCCTGAAGGGGGTGTGACCAGCCTGCAAACACCCATCAGTCCCTCACCCAGGCTGGCAAGACACCCTAGCGAGACCCCCACCCTGATCCAGGACACCCTTCAGGGCAAGCAGCGGGCCCCCACCTGTGCACCAGGCCTCTAGCCTATATAATACAAGGGTAATATGCAAATTGACCCTAACAGCAGAGCGACTGGGAATGACTGGTCACTATGACACACACTGACCACCAGGGGACAGACGCTCAATGCAGGAGCTGCCCCCTGGTTGTCAGTGCACTCCCACAGGGGGAGCTCTGCTCAGCCACAAGCCAGGCTGACGGCTGCCAGTACAGTGGTGGTGGTGGGAGCCTCTCCGGCCTCCTTAGCAGTGCTAAGGATGTCCGACTGCAGCTTAGGCCTGCTCCCCGCTGGCAAGTGGACATCCCCCGAGGGCTCCCGGGCTGCCAGAGGGATGTCTGACTGCCAGCTTGGGCCCAAATCCCCCGGGGAGCGGGCCTAAGCCAGCAGGTAGTCATCCCCTGAGGGGTCCCAGACTGGGAGAGGGCACAGGCTGGGCTGAGGGACCCCCCCGAGTGCACAAATTTTTGTGCACCAGGCCTCTAGTTAGAAAATAAAATGCATCATACAATGCAGTCAGTGAAATATCAAACTAGAACTCTCTTGATTAAGTAAAAAATCAACTATTCTATACCATAATGTAATATTCATTAATAATACAGTGAGATGAACATTCTAAATAAGGTACAAAAGCCAATGTTTTTAATGAACTATAAGATGGTCTTAGATTTTCATGGATAAAATATGATACATTTAAATAACCAGCTTATCTTGCTAGACATATTCTGGGGCCAACAACAAATATACTCTGGAAAATACAAAATTAACTTATAAAGCATCCTTAAACATATTTCACAAATCTAAACATCATAAAATATCTCAATTTCATATAAAAATACCTGAGAAATTTGCTACATGAGTACATTCATCCATGACTCCTTTCATAAACAGCAAAGATTCTTTCTGAAGATTCTTTCTTCTTTGTTCTTTACTGAGTAGGTGGTATGACTGAGGATTGGAACTTGTATAACTACTTTTGTTGGTTGAAAGTGTTTGATTGAAGCACTCCATCTTAGAAGTATCTTTCAACAAGAGTCCTTCTGATGTGGCACTGAAAGATGTTTTACTAGATGTATGACACTCATTATGTTTCGAGGACACAACCTGGTCTGTCATATCTAAATTTAAAGTTCTAGAAACCAGATTAAGGTTAGTGAGCTTGTCTGCACTGCTAGGGAAGCATTTCACGAACTCTTGTCCCATTTTGAAAGAATCTGTCTGAATATATAAAAGAAAAGAAAACATCATTTAATAAAAAATAGGATTTTATTTAACAACTTTGTTCAAACAAAACCACAAATGTTCATCAACGAATAAAAGGAAAAACAAAATGTTGTATACATACAATGGATCATTAATGAACTTCTGATACATGCTAAAACATGGGTGAACTTTGAAGACATTATACGAAATGAATAAAACAGGCACAAAAGGACAAATATTGTATGATTACATTTTTTATGAGGAACCTAGAGTAATCAAATTCATAGAGAGAGAAAGTAGAATGGTGGTTGCCAGATGAAGAGGAGGTGGAAATGGAGAGTTATTGTTTAACAGGTTCAGAATTTCAGTTTAGGAAGATGGAAAGTTCTGCAACTGGATGGTGTTGTCGGAGGAGGTGATGGTGGCAAAACAATGTGAATGTACTTAATACCATTGAATGGCACATTTAGAAATGGTTAAAATGGTACATTTCATGTTGTATATATTTTACCACAATTAAAAAAAAAAGAAAAAAGAGATGTCAAAATTTAACTTAGGACTAAGACAGAGTTATATTTTACTGCTAAATGTTTCCTACTGAACAGCAATTAAAAAGTGTAATTTAGTCTATCTCATGCTTTTATTGCCAAAGTATGGAAATCCAGATCTGCTAGAACTTCCAAAAGTCTAATGAGTGTATCCTGGCAGTAATACAATAGCCACTCCAAATCTCTTTCTCAGGATGAACTAATAATAATTTAAAATGATCAAGGAATATTACCTATGAAAAATTTTAAAGTATGAACTCAGCTTAAAGACCTGTAAGTACAACATCATTTAAATAAAAATAAACTTTGTCAAATACTAAAAGCAAAGTCAAAACATAAAAATGATAGCCTGGGAAAATATATTTGCAACTTATATGACAAAGAGCTTATTGCTTTAATAAGAGCAATAGAGTGAAGAGAAAGCCCAAAATTACAATAAAAAGAAATAAGCAAAGGGTATGCATATAAGGTCATAGAAAATAAAACAGAAATTGGTCTTGAACTTACCCTTAACTATGTTCATTCAGAAACTATCTCCTCTGAACACTTAGTATTTTTTTTTTTTAAATATATTTTATTGATTTTTTACAGAGAGGAAGAGAGAGAGATACAGAGTTAGAAACATCGATGAGAGAGAAACATCGACCAGCTGCCTCCTGCACATCTCCTACTGGGGATGTGCCCGCAACCCCAGGTACATGCCCTTGACCGGAATCGAACCTGGGACCCTTCAGTCCGCAGACCGGCGCTCTATCCACTGAGCCAAACCGGCTTCGGCTGAACACTTAGTATTTTTATTTTTAATTTAAAAAAAAATCTATTTTTATTGATTTCAGAGAGGAAGGGAGAGGGAGAAAGAGATAGAAACATCTATGATGAGAGAGAATTATTGATTGGCTGCTTCCTGCAGGCCCCACACTGGGGATCGAGACTGCAACCCAGGCATGTTCCCTGACTGGGAATCGAACCCTTGACCTCTTAATTCATAGGTAGATCCTTAACCACTGAGCAACACTGGCCAGGCAAGAAAAATTTTAAGGGAAACAGAAAGGGATGGAAGGGAAAATATAGATTAAGACACTTAAAAGAACTGTAGTATCGCCATAACCGGTTTGGCTCAGTGGATAGAGCGTCGGCCTGTGGACTGAAAGGTCCCAGGTTCGATTCCGGTCAAGGGCATGTACCTGGGTTGCGGGCACTTCCCCAGTGGGGGATGTGCAAGAGGCAGCTGATCGATGTTTCTCTCTCATCGATGTTTCTAACTCTTTATCTCTCTCCCTTCCTCTCTGTAAAAAATCAATAAAATATATTAAAAAAAAAAAAAAAAACAACTGTAGTATCTATCCCTTTCCCCCTGTCTCTCTTCATCTAGCTCTCCATCACTCACACACTGTCACCAAAGAAAATAAATAAATTATAAAATAAAAAAACAAAAGAGCTGAAGTATCTAAAGATGTACACTTGGATAATAAAATTATTTTAAAGAAAGAAGGAAGCAGTTACTATAAAAATCAGGATGATAATAGTAGGGAAGAAGGGCCTTTGATTAGGACACACGGAGGTGGTTTCAGGGTTGGGTGGTCAAGTTTTGAACTGGGTGGTCAAGCTATATTCTTGACCTATTACAAATGTGTTTCTATTTAATAATGTATTAAACCATATTTGCTTTGAATGATTATCTATATCTGTTATTTTACTTATCTGTATTTTCTTTTAAAGAACTTAGAAAAATATTGCTTTAAAAAATTTCCAATTCTTTTTAAAAAATTGACTTTAAAAAATAAAAATTGACTTTAGAGAGAGGAAGGAAGGAAGGGAGACAGAGAGATAGAGAGAGAGAGAAGAACATGGATCTGTTGTTCCACTTATTCATGCATTTCATTGGTTGATTCTTTTTTTTTCCCCCCATTGGTTGATTCTGACTGGGGATCAAATCTGAAACCGTGGCATATGAGGAGATGCTCTAACCAACTAAGCTACCCAGTCAGGGCCCAAAATTTGCAATTCTTTTTAAAAATTTGAATCATTAAACACAATCAACCCTTCCCCTAATATTATATAGAAATTACAAATACTTACTCCACAATATTCAAGCATGTGAATAATTTCTTCCTCATAAACGGTCTGTGCATAATACTGCTTTTCCAACTCCCTCCAATTAATTGATTTACTCAGCACACCCTGAAATAACAAACTAAAGTGAGATCAAATCACATCATAAAACATCTTGTCCAAAAATTGTATTATTACTGTGCAGAAGAGTTAACATAGCAGGCTTGAGATTCCCTATCTTTAGAAAGGCCCGCTTATAAGGTTGGCCCTCGACTAGAGTTTGAGAACTTGACTAATAAACAGTTCTTTACCCTGATGAAAACTTCCTAAATGATGAAAAACATGAACTGATGAACAAAAATAAATCCAGAGACAGAGAAGGATCGATCAGACCATCAAACCTCAGAGGGAAGGTAGGGGAGGGTGGAGGTGGGGGTGGGGGTGTCAACCAAAGGACTTGTATGCATGCATATAAGCCTAAACAACGGACACAGACAACAGGGGGGTGAGGGCATGAGTGGGGGGGTGAGGGGACAATGGGGGAATAAGGACACATATATAATATTTTAATCAATAAAGAAATAAAAAAAAAACCTTCCTAAATGATAAAGTGGGGTCTCTGTGCCTGAACTTGTTGTACAAACAATGCAGGTCCTGCTGAACACCTGCTTTCCTTCTGGAATTTTGGTACATGCCACGAAGAGGGAACCTAAATGACTGAGCCTTGAGAAAAACCCTGGACTTCTGTGCTCAAGTGAATTGCACTAATGGATACAACTTGGCAAATTTGTCACACTGCTGGAGGAAGCCAACACAGAATGTGAGGTCTCCACTGAAAGCTTGTGTCTGGTGTCCTCTGGACTTTGCCCCCTGTATCTTTTCCCTTTGCTGATTCTGTATTGTACCCTTTTGCTCTAATGAGTCTTAGTCATGAGTACATGCTGAGTCCTGTGATTTCTTCTAGTGAATCACCAAACCTGAGGGTGGTTTGGGGATCCCCCCAAACAATTACCTATAAGCATATATAACTATCTAAATATTAATTGCAATTAAATTACCGTAGTGAAGACCCCAGATGCTGTAGACCAAGACAGACATGGAATCAATGGCATGGGCTTAGGCCAGTTGGATACCGCTAAGGAAGCCATCTGTAATATGTTAACACAGTCAGTTAGAGAGCTTCTGTTTAAATTTTCTACTCATTAAAATAAAAAATATTTAATATTAACAAGCACTTTGTGTAATAGTTGATAAGACACAAAAAGCCTCTAAACCAGGGGTTCTCAACCTGTGGGTCGCGACCCCTTTGGGGGTCAAACAACCCTTTCACAGGGGTCACCTAAATACATCCTGCATATCAGATATTTACATTACGATTCATAACAGTAGCAAAATTACAGTTATGAAGTAGCAACGAAAATAATTTTATGGTTGGGGGTCACCACAACATGAGGAACTGTATTAAAGGGTCGCGGCATTAGGAAGGTTGAGAACCACTGCTCTAAACACTCATGAGAATGACTAGCAAGCAACCTTTTCAAACTTCCAAAAGTCATAAATTCAACTACAACATATAACTTCCCCCTTTGAAAGCAATCTACACTAATAAAAGAGAAAAATGGTAATTGGCATACGGCGCTACCCTTTTCATTGGCTAATCAGGGCTATATGCAAATTAACTGCCAACTAAGATTGGCAGTTAACTGCCAACAAGATGGCGGCTAATTTGCATATGTAGGCACAATGCAGGGAGGCGAAAGGGAAAGCAGGAAGAAGCCCCCTGCCACTGACAGTGATCGGAAACCCAGGGGGGAGCTAAGAGCTGGGGGGCAGGGCAAAGGCAGCCCTGGGGCCGCCTTTGACCTGCCCCCCAGCCATGATCGGAGAATCAGGCGCCTTTTCCGCCCTGGCCAGTGATAGCAGGAAGTAGGGGTGGAGCCAGCGATGGGAGCTGGGCAAGGTCGAAGCTGGCAGTCCCAGGAGCTAGGGGTCCCTTGCCTGGGCCTAAAGTGAAGCCCACGATCGCGGGGCCGCTGCAGCTGCGGGTCCCTGCTGCCCGGGCTGGACGCCTAGGCCAGAGGCGTTAGGCCTGGGCAGGGGCGGAGCCTGCAACGGCGAGGAGCTGGGGGTCCTCCGCCCAGGCCTGACACCTCTGCCGGAGGCCTCAGGCCTGGTCAAGGGGCCGATCCGGTGATTGGTGATCAGAGGGTGATGAGGGTCAACTCCTCTGGCCGAGGCATCAGGCCTGGGTGGGGGGCGGAGCCGGGGATTGGGGGGATATGATGGTCCCCTTGCCCAGGCCTGAAGCCTGGGTCAGAGGCGTCAGGCTTGGGCGGGGGGTGGAGCAAGCGATCAGAGGGAGATGGGGGTCCCCTGCCCAGACATGATTCCTGGGCAGAGGCCTCAGGCCTGGGCGGGGGTCAGAGCCAGTGATCGGGGGGAGATGGGGGTCCCCTGTCCAAGCCTGACACCTCTGGCGGAGGCGTCAGGCCTGGGCAAGGGGCTGATCAGGCGATCGGAGGGTGATGGGGGTCTACGCCTCTGGCCGAGGCATCAGGCCTGAGCAAGGGGCAGAGCCAGCAATCGGAGCGGTCTGGGGGTCCCCTGCCCAGGCCTGATGCCTGGGCCAGAGGCATCAGGCCTGGGCTGGGGGCAGAACCAGTGATGGGGGAAATGAGGGTCCCCTGCCCAGGCCTGACACCTCTGGCAGAGGCATCAGGCCTGGGCAAGGGGCCGATCCTGTGATTGGAGGGTGATGAGGGTCAACGGCTGAGGGCTCCCAGTATGTGAGAGGGGGCAGGCTGGGCTGAGGGACACTCCCCCCCCCCCACACCCAGTGCACGAATTTCGTGCACCGGGCCCCTAGTCTATATATAAAAACCTAAGTGACCTTTACGACTGGTCGAGCAAATGACTGGTTGCTATGATGTGCACTAACCACCAGGGGCAGATGTTCAATGCAGGACCTGTCCCCTGGTGGTCAGTGTGCTCTCACAGCCAAACTCCTGTCTTTCCTCTCCGGGGCTAGCCTGCCCCGCCCCACCCCGCCCCGATCTGGACTGGGTGAGACGCCCCGATTGCCCGATCGCCAGCCAGGCCAAGGGACCCCATTCATGCACGAATATGTGCACCAGGCCTCTAGTAAAATACATTAGAAAATTTTAAGTAATCTCAAGACTTTTCATAGAGAACTACTTTCTACTGGGTAAATATAGAGCACACATGCTGAGATGTAGATACACTCATTACCTAAGTGACTTGCTCAGGTATAGCAAAATCACAACTATAAAATCTCAGACCCTAAAAAATAATAAAATAAAAAAACCACTCAGACCCCTGAAGTTGACTAAAAGATGCCAAGAATTTGGTAAACTACAAAACACAACATATACCTACTTTAAAATAATGTAATATGTATGCTTAGAGAGGGGAAGAGTTGTTTTGGGCTAGAGGAATTGGGGTAGGCTTCAGGAAATGGCTGTCACTTAGGGAAAATGATTGATGGGGTTATGTCTTCCATTTAAGAACACAATAGGATTAAAGGCAAGATAGTGAGAAAGCACAAAGTCTTTGTTGTGGGGAACATCCAAAATACAGGGTGGAGCAAAAGTAGGTTTATAGTTGTTTGTATGGAAAATAATATAACAGTTAATAAATAATACTACAAGAGTAAACTCTGTTTTGCATACTCACAAATGTAAAACTACTTCTGACACCCTGTACTTCAGCTCAGCTGGTCAATAGTGCACATGTGGTCAGTGGGTTCAGGAGATAAGTAGGGCTGGAAAGATTGATCAGGATCAGATTAGAAATTCCTTTGTTTTGTAGATAATGGGGAATTAATCAAGAGGCCTGGGCAAAGGAGTGGCATTGTCAAAGGAGTGATTCAAGGAAGCTAAAATGATAGTGGTTTATAGGGCTGATTAGAGAGGATCAGATTTCAGGTAGGAAAACCAGTTAAGAGGCAGTAGTCAAGATGAAATTATAAGGCCCCAACCTAGGTTCTAAAAATGGAAACACTACTAGGTAGGAAAAGAAATCCTTTTTCAGCCTTCAGGTTTACTATCTTGTAGTTGCTGTTTTGAATTTGAGTAAATTCTTGAAGTGATTTTATTAGCTTCACCTCTTTGGTAACCTCTTTGAATTTGAGTAAGTTTTTGATCTTAATTTTATAAGTCAAATAACTTACAGCAAATATATTTTTTAATGTGCTGAATGACTAATCAGTCCACATAATGAATCAGAGCATATTCCTGGCCCTCAGTGAATGTACTGCTTCATTGAGCAAACTGATGGCTAAATAAATACAGTGAAATAAGTACTAATGAGAGATGAAGTATAGTCTGGAGTAAGGCTGGGAGTCAGGAGAGCTTGTCATATGAAGTAAGCTCCAAATTGGAACCAGAAGAGCAAGCTGTTATTCAGCTAGGTGGAAGGGCATGCAGGGGCACCAGAAGGGTACCAGCACTTGGCATAGTTACAGCCAGTGCAAGAGCAAGTCTTTGGCAGGTTTTAGGCAGAACAGAGCAGAAATCAGATTGGGGAAGATCACTAAGGTTTGAAGAAAAACTGTTAAGAAAAAGTTTAAGAGAAAAGAATACATGACAAGCAAACCAAGTAGGAGGCCATTTTAGTGCACTCTACAAGACAAAGGTAAAATAAGTTGGTGGTATCAGGTATAAAGATAAGAGATAAATGAAAAGTATTTTCTAGCCCTAGCCAGTTTGGCTCAGTGGATAGAGCATCAGCCTGTGGATTGAAGGGTCCCTGGTTGGATTTTGGTCAAGGGCATATGCCCAGGTTGTAGGCTCAATCCCCAGTAGGGGGTGTGCAGGAAGCAGCTGATCAATGATTCTCTCTCACTGTTGATGTTTCTCTCTCTCCCTTTCCCTTCCTTTCTGAAATCAATAAAAAATATATAAATACATAAAAAGTATTGTCCAAATTAGCTATTTTCACCAATGTAAGACATTTGTACTTGAAACTTGAGTAAAGTTTCATAATCAACTTTTAATAAAATACCAAATCCAAAAGCTGAGATATAGCTGTAGAGTAAGTAATCAGTGTCTACATAAATCATACCAAAAAATAACATAATTATTTTATAATTGGAATGAAAGTTTAGAATGTTTCTTCTTTCACCAAAACCAAAATTAATTCTATACATAAAATGAATTTTAAAAGTAACTAGATTCCCTAGATCTTATAAACACAATCATAAGTAAATATCATTTGAAATGAAAGGCTTACATGTCCTCCCATGGATATTCCGGTCATTCCTAGAGGTCCATAACCCTCCCTCTCTAGCCAATGCAAGAGAGCTGCAGATTCCAAAACAAGAGCTCCTCCCATCACAAATAGGTCAGACACGTTTTTTAAGCTGGACCTTCTAGCATCACAAAACAAAAAAGAAAATTATTTTTTAATGTATTTATATTTTTATATGTGAAAATTTACAACAGGCAGTCAAGGTTTATCTTTATTCTTTTAAAGGGAATAGTAGTTGAGTAAAACAATGGACTGAGTTGATATAATTAGAGTGCTGCTAATACAGTTCTACATATTAATCACCTATAACTTATTTTTTTTAAGTTATATATGCTCTCTAGCATATAATCTTTGTTGAATTTCAACTATTTTACTATTTTCAAGTTTAGAAAAGAATCTTATTTGATGGCACTTTATAAAAACTTAAAATATTTATGGGAAAATAATATTTCTTATTCTGCCGATTTTGTTAAATTACCATGACTGTATAAGGAAAAACAAATTTATAGTTGCCCCCCCTTAGAAAGAACTTATTACAATAGAACTTAAAAGCATAACATTTTTTAAAAAGCAATGTTAAGAGTTTAACCTAATACTAGTTTCATGTATTACCGAAATCTTAAATACACAATTTATGAAGACAAATGCACATAGTTGGCTACTGGATGAAACCTTGTCAAAGTGTACAAAAATTCATTTTATCAATGGTCATTCACTATATGCCTACATAGAATAATTATATGCAAAGAACCAGATGCCACAGGAATGTGAAGTTGTTAAAAACAGAATTATGCCCAGTGTCCTCCCACATCCTCTAAGGGCTCCATATTCATAAGGCAGGGCTTCTCTTTATGGAAACTACTAGAGGCCTGGTGCAAGAATCCGTGCACAGGTGGGGTCCCATCTGCCTGCGCTGGCCTGGGGAAGGGGACACGGGAGGTTGGCTGGCTGGCCCTGCTCCCTTATCAAACTCCCTGTGGAGGGGACAATTTGCATATTAGCCGTTTATTATGTAGCACTAGAGGCCTGGTGCATGAAATTCTTGCACTGGGGGTGGTGGTGGTGGTGTGTGTGTGTCCCTCACCCAGCCTGCACCCTCTCCAATCTGGCACCTCTTGGGGGACATCCCCTCACAATCCAGGACTGCTGGCTCGCAACTACTCGCCTGCCTGCCTGATTGCCCCTAACCGCTTCTGCCTGCCAGCCTGATCACCCCCTAACCGCTCTCCTGCCAGCCTGATTAACACCTAACTCCTCTCCTGCCAGCCCGATCGCCCCCAACTGCCCTCCCCTGCTGGCCTGATCTCGCCCCCAACTGTCCTCCCCTGCAGGCTTGATCTCGCCCCCAACTGCCCTCCTCTGTTGGCCAATTTGGTTCTGATTGGTTGGTTTCTATGCCAGTCAGCGTCAAAAGCTCTGCCTCCTAGGCAGCCATTGGCTCCTTACAGTTGACCCAGATTTGGTTCTAATTGGTCAGTTCCTATGCCAGTCAGTGTCAAAAGCTCCACCTCCTAGGCAGCCATTGGTTCCTCACAGTTGACCCAGATTTGGCTTTGATTGGTCAGTTGCTATGCCAGTTAGTGTCAAAAGCTCCACCTCCTAGGCAGCCATTGGCTCCTCACACTTCACCCAGATTTGGTTCTGATTGGTCGGTTTCTATGCCAGTCAGCGTCTCTGGGCCTATTAAGGGGGCCTGATCAGCAAGGTGGGGCTGATCAGCAGCCCCGGTGGAGGCCTGGAGAGAAATGGAGGTGTGACTGCTGGAGAGAAATAGAGAGGCAAGTGCTGATCAACAGCTGCCACAGGGGCTACAGATCAAACCCTGCTTCTCTCTTCAGGCCTCTGTCCGGGCCTGATTTGCAGTCCCCTCAGCAGTCAGCACTGGGTTGCCGTGGCAACCCAGCACTGACTGCAGGACTGACTTCTGGTTGGTCGAGCCTCGGTCGTGAGGGACCCAGGGTTTTTATATATTAGGATGTTATCCTATGTCAAAACAGATCATACTGATGCTTCATCATAAAAGAACTCATTTATCCTTATACTTGTTTCCTATCCTCATTCTAATTTGCTATTTATGATTACAGAATTTCCCTGATTATTTTCATCTGGTATGGAAGTTTGAATTCTCAGATCCACCTCAGTTTGCTCTTTAACAGAAGTTACCGATGTGAGGTTTTGAGATAATGGTTATATATAACAATAAACCCAGTCTCAAATTACTTAACCACTGTTGATGAAAACAGGGTTAAGATATTTTAAAAGAGAGAGAATTGTTTATTATTATTTAAATTGCAAGACATTTCTTTCTTATGATGATTAAATACATTGGAGCATTATTATATTTTCTGGGTACATAAGTGTAACAGGATATTTTATAAACATTGTAATTCTCGCAACAAGTCTGCACTAGGAAATTTATAGTTTTCCCACTTTATAAGGTTTGCTTCTACCACACCCCATTTTCATGACCTCTTTTATGCCATGATCACATAGACAAGTGACTTCTAAACTGATCTTTCCACCACTTTGCAACTCCCTATTTGACTTCTCTACTTGCAGGTCCAACAGATATCACCAATATGTCCAAGTCAGAACTTTTGATTTCTTACCCACAAAAATGAATTTATCAGTAGGTCTTATCATTTTAATTTCTGCTTAAAGTACTCTAGAGGTTTCCCACTGCACTTACAGTAAAATTCTAATCATGGTTCTTCCTAACCTGACCCTTGCCTACCTTTCTGATCTCATCTTGCACTACTCTCCAACCCAGTGCTCACACTGTGCTTTTCATTTACTCTTCCTTCTCTGAGGCTGATCTTCCTCCAGGTTGTCACCCTGGTGGCTCCTTCTCGTTACGTCATGTCCTCATATCTAATACTGCTCCATCCCTGCACCCACACTCTATTACTCTTTATCCCATTGCCTTGCTTTATTTCTTTATGGTATTGATAAGTATATGAAATTACCTTATTGATTTTTATCTCTCTCTCATACTAGAATATGAGCTCTATGAAAGTAAGGACCTTGTCTTTTCGTTGCTGTCTTCCCAGTGTCTAGGATCAAATATTTCCTGAATGAATCAAAACTAAATATAACATAGACTATGAAAATGCAAAAAGCACTGCCTTAAAGTTGATCATTTTAAAAGACCAGGAAGGGAAAGTTTACCTATATTATGCATTGCAAGAATAAAAAATAATAGTGTTTAATTTCACAAAGTAAATGTACTTTTCCTTTTAAAAAGGGACATGTTTTATACTTTCTTCAGTTAAAATTTTACAAATAAAATATATCTTCAGTCAACCTATTAAAAATTTATCTCTTTATCATACATTTAAAATGCAAAAAGCTTAAAGTAAAAATTAAAGTTAACATTCCTACTATAGTTTTATAACAGAATTTCCCCACAATAACACTTGGAGATTAAACTTAGAAATGGTTAACCAAAGACTACCAAAAACTTTAATGTTGCTGAAAATTCAATATAAAGACTGCAAAAATGAAGGTGATATATACTTACATTTGGTCCTTGGGTTTCCTGCAGCCATTTAAGAATGTGGTCAAAGAGAAAGTTTTAAAACAAATATTCTCTGGTATCAAAACACATTAACTTAAATTAGTTAAAGACAAATTAATACTGAAATAACTATTTTATAGTTGAAATATGCTGTTTAGAAGTTCTCAGGTTTTTCAAATGGTTTTCTTTTATAGAGCTTTATTTTTTAAATAATTTATTAGTATTAGTATTATTTTGATTAATCCTCACATCAGGATATTTTTTCTATTGATTTTTAGAGAGTGGAAGGGAGGAAAGAAGTTGGAAAAAGAGAAAGAAACATCCACGTGAAAGAGACACATTGATTGGTTGACTTCCTGCACACAGGATAGAACCTGCATCCCAGGTACATGCCCTTGACTAGGAATTAAACCTTATGGCAGCGGTTCTCAACCTGTGGGTCGCGACCCCTTTGGGGGTTGAACGACCCTTTCACAGGGGTTGCCTAAGACCATTGGAAAACACATATATAATTACATATTGTTTTGTGATTAATCACTATGCTTTAATTATATTCAATTTGTAACAATGAAAATACATCCTGCATATCAGATATTTACATTACGATTCATAATAGTAGCAAAATTACAGTGATGAAGTAGCAACGAAAATAATTTTATGGTTGGGGGTCACCACAACATGAGGAACTGTATTAAAGGGTCGCGACATTAGGAAGGTTGAGAACCACTGCCTTATGGTTTGCAGGCAGATGCTCTAACCACTGAAGACACAGGACAGGGATAATAATTTTTTTTTCTTTTTCTCTTTTTGGGACTAACAATTTATTTTAAAGAATTTTTATTGATTTTTAGAGAGGGAGGAAAAGAGGGAGAGGCACATACACATTAATGTGAGAGAGATACATCCATTGGTGGCCTCCTGTATGCGCCCTGGGGATGGAACCTGCAATCAAGGTATATGCCCTGATCGCTCTGGTACACAGGATGATGCTCCAACCAACTGAGCCACACTGGCCAGGGCTAAAAAATTTATCTGAAGTGTACAATTCAATGTTTTTAGTTTATTTATTGGGTTGTGCAGTCTTCAACTTCAGTTTATTGGATTTTTTCATTTATATTATTTTAGAAAACCTAAAAACCTGGGTTGCTTAGTTGGTTAGAGTATCACCCCTATACACCAAGGTTGAGTGTTCCATCTCCAGGTTCCATACAAGCAAGCAAGCAATGAATGCATAAATAAGTGGAACAACAAATTGATATTTCTCTCTCTTTCTCTCCCTTCCCCACCTCTCCAAAATCAATTTAAAATTTTTTAGAAAATACAGAAAGGATTAGAAAAATTTAGTTTATCTACAGACAACTATGTTAATATTTCGGTGTATTTTTCCTAATATTTTTTCCGCAGTATTTTAAATGGGTTTTGTTTTTAGGTTTTTTTGTATACCTATATCATACCATAGAGTTATATATCCCATTTTTTACACTATAAATACTTACATACATTGCTATAAACTTTTAAAATAATAACTGTTAAAATTTACTGAACACATTATTTACCAGGCAATGTTCTATTAACTCTATAATACTCTGAATAACCCAAGAGACTATTTCCATTGCCAACAAAAATATTGATGTACTAAAATATTATGTTAACAAGTCCATGGTCATACAGTCAGTAAATGGTAGAACAATAAACATTATAGAACCAATTGCATAATATTACAATATTATGAACCAGTTTTCTCAACCATGTTGCTATTGTTGGACATTCAAGCTATTTCTAATGTTTTACTATTGTACATCAAGTTATATAGCTATCTTTTCTCTTTTCTATTACTTTCTCTTTTTTTAGTATTTTATCCTTAGATTAAATTTCCCAGAAAGAGAATCATCCTGTCAAGGGATGTGAAGCTTTTTAAGGCTCTTGATTCAATGTGGTAAAAATGCTTTCCCAAGGGGTTGAGCTGATATTCAGTAATCAGTAGTGAGTGTGCCCATTTCACAATAGGCTCATGAGTATTATGTTTTGTTTTTAAAATACTTGTTAGTGTTGCTTTAACTTTACATTTCTCTTATTACCAGCAATGTTGAGCATTTTGTTATATTTGTGCATCAGTTTAGTTTCTTTTTCTTTAAATAAATTTTTATTGATTTAAGAGAGGAAGGAAGAGGGAGAAAGAGATAGAAACATCAATGATGAGAAAGAGTAATTGATTGGCTGCCTCCTGCATGCCCCCACTGGGGATATCAAGCCCGCAACCTGGGCATGTGTCCTTGACTGGAATCGAACCCGGGACCCTTCAGTCCACAGGCGATCCTCTATCCACTGAGTCAAACCAGCTAGGGCCAGTTTCGTTTCTTCTTCTGGACATAGTCTGACGTCATCTTGAAAATTAAGTTAAGAACTGTTCTAAACCTCAACTGATACTTAACTGTAAAGCACTTAAAACATGAGGGTTTCCTTAATAGCAAACATTTGACTTAATATTAAAATGCAGCATAAAATAAGTCTCACAGGAAACAGAAGTACCATTTATCTTTATTATACAACAGAAGCACAATCCTTATTTTAGTTTTTAAAAGGCATGAAGGCTTTTTAAAAGTCTGACTGCTCTTCAATCTAAAAAGTAATTTTTCACTTCATTCTTAAGTATTTTTTGAACTGATGACTAAATTTAACTGCTTTAGAAAAATTGGCTACTATCATTCCTTTGGCTGACTAAATCTATAAATACATAAGAGAAAAGATTTCTAGGTATCACAAAAGGATATAATAAGGGTTTTCTAACAACAAAGAAGCCATTCCGGCTTCTTTAATCATAGGACGAGCCATCAGTGTTCGTCGTCTCCAGTAATGCTAAGGAAAGAAAAGAGGACACATTTAAAGAATATAAATAATCACATCTGTTAAGGAGAGTATGTTGACAAATTAGGGATTAGATATCATAATAAAGTCTTACATGATCTCCTGTTCCAGCAAGATGAATGCATACGGGTCTATATTTGCTATTCCATTCTTTAGGCACAATAAATTGGAACCTATTTAAAATAAAGCACCTCAATTAATTATCTTTTAAAGGCGTTTAAAAAATATATATTTTATTGATATTTTACAGAGAGGAAGGGAGGGGGATAGAGAGTTAGAAACATCAGTGAGAGAGAAACATCGATCAGCTGTCTCCTGCACACCTCCTACTGAGGATGTGCCCACAACCAAGGTACATGCCCTTTGACTGGAATCGAACCTGGGACCTTTCAGTCCACAGGCTGACGCTCTATTCACTGAGCCAAACCGGTCAGGGCTTAAAGGCTTTTAGTACAAACTTTCAATGCTTGAAAGTTTCATAATTAAATTATTTTGGAAAAAAGTCTCCAGAATTCTGACATTAAAATTGTAATTGAGTATTTAATATTTGCCTAAAGGCAACAAAGATATTGTAAATTTGTTTTATGTTAGGATAGTAAAATATTCAATTACCATATAGACACAGAATTTATTGTAATCATTTTTTATCTTGTTCAATACCACAACTTTATAAATGCATAATAAAATTTTCTTATGCTAGAGACATTAATATATATGATTAAGTCTTTAGGCTGTGGCTGCATTCTCAGGCAACAAGAACTGCTTTTCTGCCCTGGCCAGCATGGCTTGGCTGAGCATCGCCCCATGCACCAAAAACATTCGCAGTCAGAGCACATGCTCAAGTTGCAGGCTCCATTCGCAGTGGGAGGAGGAAAAGAGAGATAGAAACATCAATGATAATGTAGAATCATTGATTGGCTGCCTCCTGCACATCCCACACTGGGGATTGGGTATTGAACCTGTAACCTGGGCATGTGCCCTGACTGGGAATAGAACCATGACCTCCTGGTTCCTAGGTCAATGCTCAACCATTGAGCCATGCTGGCTGGGCTGGGTCTTGTTTCTTTATCCATTCAACCATTCCATGTCTTTTGATTGGAGAACTTATTTCATTTACATTTAAACTGATTATTGATAGGTATGGACTTACTATAGCCATTTTGTTCATTGTTTCTGCCTGTTTCACGAGTGTTTTGTTTCTTCTTTATCTTTTTTCTCTTCTTTTATAATTTGACTAGAGGCCCGGTGCACAAAAATTTGTGCACTCGGGGAAAGGGGGGGTCCCTCAGCCCCGCCTGTGCCCTCTCGCAGTCTGGGACCCCTCAGGAGATAACGACCTGCTGGCTTAGGCCTGCTCCCGGGTGGCAGAGGGCAGGCCCAATCCCTAGGTGCAGTCCCTGGTTGGGCTCAGAGCAGGGCCGATTGGGGAGTTGGGGCGCCTTCCCCTGTCATGCACAGAGCAGGGCAGATAGGGAGGTTGCGATGCCACCCTCAGTCATGCTCAGGGTAGGGCCGATTGTGGGGTTGGGGCATTGCCCCCTGTCACACTCAAGGCAGGGTTGATGGGGAGGTTGCGGCGCCACCCCGTCACACACAGAGCAGGACCCATCAGGGGGGTTGGGGCTCAGTACCCTGTCACGCACAGAGCAGGGTCAATCAGGGGGTTGGGGCACTGCCCCCTGTCACGCACAGAGCAGGGCCCATCAGGGGGGTTGGGGCTCCGTACACTGTCACACACAGAGCAGGGTCAATCAGGGGGTTGGGGCACTGCCCCCTGTCACGCACAGAGCAGGGCCCATCAGGGGGGTTGGGGCTCCGTACACTGTCACACACAGAGCAGGGTCAATCAGGGGGTTGGGGAGCTCCCCCCTGTCATGCACAGAGCAGGGCCGATCAGGGGGTTGAGGAGCTCCCCCCATCACTCACAGAGTAGGGCCGATAGGGGAGTTGGGGCACCGCCCCCTGTCACACACAGAGCAGGGCGGATCAGGGGGTTGGGGCGCCGTCCTCTATCACCCACAGAGCAGGGCCGATCAGGGGGTTGGGGCGCCGCCACTCTCACACTCAGGGCAGTGCCAATGGGGAGGTTATGGCTCTACCCCGTCACACACAGAGCAGGGCCCGTGGGGAGCGGGGGGGTTGGGGCGCCGCACCCTGTCACACACAGAGCAGGGCCGATCGGGGGTTGAGGCGCTGCACCCTGTCACACACAGAGCCGCAGGGCGATCAGGGGGTTGGGGAGCTCCCCCCTATCAGGCACAGAGCAGGGCTGATCAGGGGGTTGGGGTGCCTTCACCTGTCACGAACAGAGCAGGGCGGATAGGGAGGTTGTGGCCCCGCCCCCTGTCACACACAGAGCCGCAGGGCGATCAGGGGGTTTGGGTGCTGCCCCCTGTCACGCTGATCCCAGTGCCGGGAGGCCTCTCGGCTCCGCTGATCCCGGTGCTGGGAGGCATATTAA